CTGTGTCAAGGTGCTATCCTCGTATTTGTTTAAAATGAACACGAAAACACGGTATTCTCAAGCAAGAAGACCACATTTTCACCGCCGAGAATCTGAAGTCATTAACGGAGAAAAACCAACATGTTTTAATTTATTAACGTACTCACAATACCATCTAGACACTTGGATAGTAAATGCACGTCTACAACGTGAAGTCATAGACACTGACAATGACAGTGATAAAATAGAATAGGTGTTAATTTGTTGTTCCACACGTCCGTACCTCCAGGTAAAATTGCAAGCCTCAGTTACTCATATTTCCAAATGACAGTCGGTGTAATACTGGTTTGAATGGTGTCACGTGTAAGCTGTAACATTTTGAAACTACTCCATGTTAATGTCATTTTCGTAACTCCTTAGCTCACTTTCTCTTGCTTCGTCCTTAGTCATGTGCCAGCAAGAATTATTTCAGTGCAGTGCTGATTGATGCTGTAATTGTATGTTTACAGATCTAATAAGTATTATGTAAGTGTATGACTCAAGGACATTCTATAGGCATTGCTTAACCATCTAGAGTAACAAGATAATTAGGCTGGGATGCGAATTGTGACTGCCCTGACCTCGACGATGACTGTGCAAATGAATTAGGTATAATTGTCTTGGTATCGTCTTTTTATTTCAGCGTATGTTTTGTACTGGAAATTAATTTGCGGTGGATGTAGTTTTGTCCTAATTAGTTATTATTTTATGGACCTCGGCTGAAAATTTGATTCGGAAATCTGGTAAGAGCGAGTTTTATGTGACATGGGCCCCGTGTTAAATGTTCGGAATAATCTCTGCCCACCCCGCACTGAATTGCAGTTTCTTGAAAGTCTCATTTAAAGCTCAGTGGTAACTGTTGATGTTTGTAATGGTGATGTGTTTGTTGAATGGATGAGTTTAGTCTTAAGGGGGTGTTTTTCTTGCGTTCAGTTCTGTGAAACCGTTTGCGGGAGGTGAGGTGAGGTGAGGTGTCTGAATTCTTAATCTCGGCAATAAAAGGGTTTATGTGGCCAGTCGCAGCTGCTGCTATTTTACATACCCACGAAACAGACCCCAGTATCCATTGGTTAGGAGCCGGTCTTGTCATAGTGGCGATTATAACACGTTCATAAATATCCCATAAGGCCCAAAGTCCCGTAACTGCGGATGAACACCGGCCACTTTACCAACACTTGCTTATTATATGGATAGAGTAACTGAGCGACTATCAGTTTCTCAAGAACTATTCCGCTCTGTAGAATTATGCAACTGATTGTTACAAATTGAATATCGTTTTACTTATTTATAGAACTGAAGGTAATTGTGATGACATTTGCCAATGATACATAGCGATGATCGCGTGACTGTCGAAACATGTTCTGAAGTGACGCCAATGAAATTCTGCAGTAATGAGACAGTACAATAGTACCATAAACGACGGGTTATCAACAGAAGGCCCGCGGGTCGCATGTAGTCCGTGCTAACTGCGTACATATTTGTAATATTGGATAGGTCGGGTTAGGTTTGGTTAAATTTAAATTTTGATTTTGGAGGCAGGGCCTGCTTGTATGTTAGGTGACGTAGTGAGTTTCAGCAGGGTTGAGTTAGGTTATGATAGGATGGGTCAGATCGCGATGGGTTCCAGTGGATGAGAAACTTCGGTTGTTAATAGGTGCATTAAATAGGAGTGGATAAGTAGCATAGCCTGTTTCAAGTTACTGTCGGTGATGGTGGGTTGGGTGGTATGTTAAGTGTGGAGCGGAAGGGATGCCCTTTGAACCTCGTGTGGATGGGCTACGGTGAGTGGACGTCGAACGTCCGCAGTCTAGAGGAAGGTCACATGTGGGACGCACAAATGGTTGGGGTGAAGTACCATTTGTGTTACGTGACCCTAACAGCGAAGGGGTCTCGGGTGGGTAGGAAAGAAGTGTGTGTTACGCGTAAGATATTATCTAGGGGTAAACTTCAGGAATGTTCTGCTTGTTTGTTATTGTGTGATTACGATATGATGGAGGTCAGAAAATTTTAACAATTCAGTACAATGTGGGTCAAAACCTACTTGATAACGTAATCACTTTGATAATGCAAAAAGCCGCAGTGACGTGAAACCTTGAATATTGTACGGGGAAACACTTCTTCATGGCGAAGGAGCGTATCTAGAAATGGTTGAAGTCTTTACGGCTTTCTGTTTGTTTTTCTTCTTCACAATATTTGATTGTGATTGTCAAGTAGGTTTTGGTGTACTCTGTATAAAGGGCTCATCAGAAATTTTAGGAAGATGGTGACGAAATGGCAAACAGAAAATACCTTTTGCATGCCGGAAATAGAACTTTGTCGAAGTATAATCGATTAAGATATTTTATTTTTTCTTGGCAATTAAATTATTCCAGAATTGAACCACGTCCGCTTGGTGAGCTGTGGTGAAGTGTTTTTCACGCCTGTCGCTTCTGCACCCAACAAAAGAGAGCCCCCCCTTTTTTTTAAGCTGGCTTCGAATGACGTCACCACACCACCCTTCGGGCTAAGCACAATTCACCCTCCCCCCAACGTAAGTAAGTGAATTCGATCGTGTGCATGATTTGGAACGAGTCGGGACCGAATATAAAAATACATATTTCTTTGTTCTTTTGTTATTTCTTGTAGTTATTGTCTAGTGACATTTTATTGCTGGGCGTGTGTACGAGTATAAAGACTTTATCTTAGGTTATATGTTTGAGGTGATAAGGTATGTATGTGTACGAAAGAAATATACAGTAATAGAACCAGAAAATTATATAACAAGCTTTTCAGTTTGAACCCATTCAATTGTCACACTTTGCCCTTCGGCCTTTCTCAAACTTCTCTCAAAATTGAGGATCGACCATCTTAATTCTCTCACGCGGACTTGCCCTAGCTACTGTACGTGAGAGTTAACAAGTCCCTGTAACGTAGATCCTTGTAAAGAAGAGATGTGCGCATGTGTAACCCGCTAATTCCTGAGTGGAGACCGTTGGTCGTTGTCGCTTTCCGCTACCCGAAGTATCGTTGTTTCTTTATTTTATTGTTACTGACTATCTTATAACTTTCATTGTTTCAAAGTATTGCCAGTAAACCGCACAAGGATGGAAACATCGTTTTCTGCTGCAGTCGAAGTGCCTCGCGTAGATACATTTTCTAGTCTGTCATATTTGCTTTTTGAGATCAGTGATGGGAAGTGTCCTGACGTCACTCTGTTCTTGAAATTAACAAGTGGAGATTTTGGAGTAATACTCGTACGAATTATAATTTACCATGAAAATATATCAGGAGAATAGGGTTTCATTAATCCTTTGAAGGCGAACTTGTCTAAATAATAGGCCGATTTAAGAACCCAGTCCGTACCTCGTAGGACACGAACATTTCACCATTGTGGAGATCAATTTGTTGTTTAAGGACACAATCGATGTTGCACCGTTCATACGAAATCCAAAGATCCAAATATGGAGCTAATTGATAATTGTTGAAGCAGGTGGTACATATAGTTTCCGCTGGACTTTAAAAAGGCTGATAGAACGTTGCATCGAAAATATTAAATGCATGTTTATTTTATATTTCTACTAGCAATAAAAATGGGTTAATATAATAGATACGAATTAACCTCAGTGCTTTAAAATAATGTCGACAATGACAAAGCACGCACCAGTCCCCGTTTGCACATCAAAGAATATCTTTGTTTCAATCAGATCGACTTGTTATTCTTATTATAAACTTTTCGTATTTTGATAGCATGAATTCCTTACTTGAGAATCTCCACTAATAATAAAAAGAGTATATTTAAATCGGCAATTAAAGTAGATCTTGACAGTTGAATTCCAAAAAAGAGTATTTTGAAGAGATATTTCTGTTAGCATAAAATAGCATGGTTATTTTCTTGGTCTTAGCACCACGTTATGTGGTGATGGTGTAAATAAAGCTCGATGCATTCGACACCAGATAGAGGCATTTTACCCACGGGAGAAAATCATCTGCTCATGATATAGGAAGATGGTTTCGCGGCCTACCTCTGTCGGGAATCAAACTCTGTAGCTGATAACTTTGCTGACTGAGGTATCCCATTTATTTTCAAGAAGTGATGCTGGCTATTGTTTTCAAGAATATAGGCCATGCCAAGAGATAATAGATCTTTATTCGGATAGAGACTTCCCGTTTTAAAAACGCAAATTAAGTTTTCGCTTCTAAGTGTTGAGTGACACATTAGTTTAATATTCTGTAATGAAAATGCCACTCACAAGGACGTAACACAGTTTGATGGTGAAAAGAGCTCTGCGAAGAGTTCTTGGATGCATGAAATAGGAAGTAACAAGAAAGAGGATGTAGAAAATTACGTAGTGAGGAGATTTATAATCTGTACTCTTAACTTAAAATTACTAAACTGTAAATCAGTGACGGACAAGTGAACGGGACGTGTAGAAGGAAATGCTTTAAATCTTTTAGTCTGGAAATCACTAGATAGATTAATTCGTTGTTGGGACAATGTTGAAGTGGATCTCTGATAACTAAGATGTGAGGGATTGAAGTGGCTCAGAACAGATATCAGTTCTGGGTCAGGATATTTCTTTATCACCAGAGGAACCATCTAAGTTTCTCAAGAAAATCCAGTACCATGGAGTTAGGCAGTAGAATTTTTTTCATGCGTGGTTGACCTCCTACTATCACGTCACGTGATTCTTAGAGGGACTGAAAAACATGGCAATGCCACATGACAGAAAGCAGGCCTTCGTTTAGCGAGGCCTTATTTCTTTCTGTAGTGTTTGCCTCTGCAGACTGCTTCCACGCCAGAGCTCACTGCCTGATTCGTATCAGTAGCATAAACACACACCCGAAGTCTGGAAAGCTCGCTGACTTATTCGTGCAGTCTTTGCTACAGCTGACGTCGCTGATATCAGCATCATTTATTATATGGCTTTGTGGTGTGCGTATTATATATTCATATCCACTGTCGCATTTTCTAGCAAGGGAACAACGAGGAAAGTCACCCAGGTTTTTCTTTATCCCAGCAGGTAAGCATTTGTGTGTTTAGGTTCTAGTGCCACAGAAATTCAATGCTGAGTTCTCTGGTTCGACTGATCCCGAGGTTCTCTACCGTGACGATATTTATCTTGGTATTCCTCAGCCCTTCCATGCAAATGTCTGAATGTTACTTTAAATATGCTTTTGACGCTTATTTGTATATCTTTCACACTTCATAATCCACAACTATTTTACATTTATAGCTTAAACGTGTTAAATAAACTAAGAACTGTGATTGGAGAACTGGTAATTCAATACAATAATACGGCATAAGTGACATTTTATATACAATCTGCGGTGAAGATTTCGATTTTCTGGGTGTGATGTCGTGTGGACACACAGGAAGAGAGAGAAAAATGTCCACGATATTACAACTCGGAAATTAGCACTGAAATTATTTGTGTCAACATTACGACACTCGTTTAAGAAAACCCCACTTTGATATGTATAATTTTGAAGGTTGTCAGTAAATTAAAATATTTCAAAATTTTTGCTACTCGTTTCAACTGATATTAGTATAATGTTTTCCTTCTATTATTGAGCAGGTATTCACTAGGACTTAAAGCGTTTGTGAGAAGTTCATGCTGAAATAGAAACCGAACACCTGATATCACAATCGTTTATTTGATCTTGAGGAAGTTTGTTATTATGGTTTGCAACCTCCAAAACCAATTTTACCAATATCCACTTTAATATTATTCTCCGATGCCCTCTGTAAACCAAGTGGCCGCCTTCGAGGAAGTTTACCACCAAAATTCTCTGTTCAACACGAACTCGTAGGAGCAGAATCCTTGTTGTTAAGATAATAGTTGCTCGGCTAGTCAGGAGTTAATCATATTTTATGGAACACAAAGGGTTGTTACCGCATTTGCAAGTCTTTCACCGGACCCTATCCGGTGCTAGGTAAATCCAATCCACACTCTCCCGACATGTCTTCAGACACATTTTAATATCCTGCCACCTACTTTTATATTTTCCAAGCGTTATATTTCCTTCAGGTTTTCCACCCAAAATTTTATATGCATCTATCTTACCCATGCGCCCCCTAATGTTTGGTGAAGAGTACAGGCTATAAAGCTCTTTATTCAAATTTCTGTAGCTTCGTGTCATTCGACCCCTTTGTTGTCTTCGTATTCCTATCAGCACCAAGTTTTCAAACACCAGTCTTTGTTGTTTTAATACAAGAGACTTTAATAGTTTCGTATATTATAATATCTACGTTTTTTTCGTGAATGCAATTTTGAATTATGGTCGTTTCCAAAAATGTGAACTTCGCCACATTTTCGAAGAATTTGTTAGCTGTGTTTATATTTTTTTCCCCCTACAGTATTATTTTCCATGGACATAGGATTATACCGAATTTTCTATTAATTTGCTTTTAGACCAAGCTTCGTACATCTTTAGCTCTGTACGCGAGAGTGAAAGTCCCTGTGACGTAGACAGACTGGTAGGCATGTGATATGGGCTGGTGTAACCCTATAATTCCTGGGTGAAGGACATTGGTATTTACTAGTACGTAGATATTTCTCACACGTCTTTTGTTTCTTTCCGGTACTCGCTGTCCATAGTATCGTTATTTAATGTTACTCAGTGTTTTATAACTTCGGTGTTTTAAAGTATTGTTAGTGACGATGACAAGCACGACGTTTTTCGGTCTAATAGTAGTGCTACAGTAGTAACTTACCAGGCAGCGTACGTCACAGGGACCTGCTTAATTTTGCTTATTGTACATATGAGTTCTCACCGCTGCTTCACAGTCCAGATGAACGACATCTACAAATGCGTACCATTATTGACTTCGCAACGAGTTTCGTCGGAAAATACGTTTTGACATGATTCTACCACTCTTAATATTAACACACTAGTAGCTGGTTGCTGCATCACTCATACGCGATATGCCTGACTGCCCAATAAAATTGTACATGTAAGTTCACTGGTGATGGACATTTTTTGCCAGAGTATTTAACATTACCTACTATACAGGCTCCAGGACAATCTAACCCACCGTAAACCAAAACAACCTTATCTAATCTAACCTAAACAACCTAACCATGCCTTACCTAACCTAACCTAACCTAACCTAAACCAACCTAAGCCAATACATCGCAACCTAATATAATGTATCTTATCCCAATCAAACATAAACTGATCCAAAATAACCGACCCGCGTAGGAACACACCTACCGCCGCTTAAGGACTTCCACACAACCTTTCAGGACTTCTCCAGCACTTCTCCTTGACCAATGAAATTCCGCATAAACTATCCAGGACTTGTCCTACACCACTCTATTACTTATCCAGAATTTCTCCAGAACTTTTCCAGGAATTCTCCAGCACTCCTCCAGGACATCCCGACGACCACCCGATGAACACGCTTAAAATGCTCCATGACAATCTAACCCATCGCAATAAAAGCAACCTTATCTAACCTCACCTAAACAACCTAACAATACTTTAGCTCTCCTATCTAAATCTAACCTAACCTAACCCAACCTAAGCCAATACAACGTATCCCAATCAAACATAAACTAATCCAAATTACCGACCCGCATAGGAACAAACCCACTGCCGCTTAAGGACTTCCACATAACCTTCCAGGATTTCTCCAGCACTTCTCCATGACCAAAGAAATTCCGCATAACCTATCCAGGACTTCTCCGACACTACTCTACGACTTATCCAGAATTTCTCCAGGACTTATCAAGGACTTCTCCAAGACATCCCCACGACCACCCGATGATCACGCTAGAAATTCTCCAGTACAATCTAACCCATCGCAAAACAGTACAATCCTTGCAGCTGGATGATAGCCCCGTTCTGCTTCGGACTCCTCGCCCACCACAGTTCAGCCTATTAGTGGGATAATGACAACGCAAGGAGCAATATTAAAATAGTAATATATTAAAATGAAGTGTTACAAATTATATAAACACAAAAAAATATTTTTTTTATATTTTTGAAAAATTATAGGGGGTGTTGCAGCTCTGTAGCTGTATACAGCCCTTTGAATGGTAATACAAGAACAAAATGTATTTCACCTACTAATTTCGGTGCGTTGTTTCTATTAAAACGTCCCATATTCCGGCAACAGAGTCTGTCAAAGCAAGGGTAGCAAAGGTGGGCAGAACTAAACGACTTAGATAAATAGAAAGTCATCTTTAAAATCGGCAACTTAAACTTGGGAGTGGTTCAGTTACGTTATATGCTTTAATATGGAAACAAGTATAAGTATAAATAAGTGGAGCTTGATAATTACTGATAACTTAAGGATGTTAATAATTATAGAAGATAATAGAAGGAAACGAACATAAATGCAACAGCGGTCTAATAAGCACACTGAACCCGATGTGTTAACAGCGCTAATACGAGTCATGTGTTCCCAGAGACAGGCTGTCGTGACAGAATTTTTTTGTAGTTTTTTTTACAGTCCCTGCAGCCATATGTCGGGATTGTACCCTAAATTAGGCCAGGCCACGACCGCTTCAAGTTCTTCCCAGTTTATTATTCATGCTATTATTCGACGCTATACAGTCGTTAAATAAAACATAAATAAATAAATAAAATATTTTCATACCGCCGTGAGAACATGAAATCTCAATTCTACGAATTTTCATAAGCACGGGTAGGTATATTGACCACACACATTTGGAATTCTAACTACATCAACTGCTGGGCATGAGTGACATTAACGAAACGCCATGCTGAAAACATTATCTCAGGTCTCAGTTCTGGATAGCGGCGCAGTCATGCAGTCGACTCCACAAACTGAGTTAAACTGAGTTTGTGCTTTGATATTTCGTTTGTTTCTATTTTTATTCAGGTTCACTTTTTAGATTTGGATGCCTTTTGAATCACTGGTTGTGCACCTATAACGTTCCTAGAATTTTGACTTCACCCACACGCCATGTTGCTTGCCCGTATCTTTAATATAATTTGGTGTGCCATGATCTAAGTTCAGGGTAAAATTTGAACCGCCTACGTTGAAAGTGAATACGATGTGGATTATATCTGTAGTAAAACGTTAACGTGGCGGGTTTCCGAAAATACATAGATACAACTTTGAGAGCTCGAAGCTACGAGTAGATATGAAGTATTGTAAACTGCCGAATGACCACTAAAAAAGCTGAATGAAAGTCGAGTAGCCACTGTGACTAAGCCTCATGTCATTAAGGCGTGTAAGCGATTTTGAAGTGAATCATTTGTTACTGTTTCCTTCGACACGATATAAGGTCTGTTGTTAGCTTCATACTCTGGTATTCTTACCCCAAGAGCAATAGCCCTTGTTACCCACTAGACAGGAGTGTGGGTGGACGTGATACAGGTAAAAATTAACCCGTCATTATCGATAATCGGACCACGGTCGACCAGCGCGTAGCTAGTCACTTCAAGTAAAATATTCTGACTCATGCAGAACCGAGTGTGAAGAAAGTGAAAGTTTTTACCCGGTCCTGATCAATAGTTCTCAGCTAACAAACCACACGCAAGGCACAGTGAGACAGACAGACAGGCCCTGAGACACGGTGAGACTGCGAGACGTCCAGGGACGTGGTGAGGGAGACAGCACAGCCTCCTTGTGATGGTAAAGATGACACTCTGGGCTTTTGTGTGTGACGTGTACCCTAGGCATGGAAGTTCTTCCACTGACAGGTGCCGAGACAAATTAACTTCAGTGCGCTGTGCAACTGGCACGTCTACATTTTGCATTAGAAAATGGTTTTGCGTATCTGTTTGTATTATTGTTTTCGGAATTATTTCCTTTTATGCTCTTTTACGTTTAACGGGGTGGGTGGGTTACAAGACTTAAACATACATTTCCTATTTCCTCTCGCGCCCTCGAAGTCTCATAGTCAAATCAATGAACCCTGGACATTATTCATAACCCATGTATGTTCTTGCCCTGGAATTTCTTCCTTGAAATGTTAAGCGATGTAATTGTTCGTAGCTCTGCTTCAAGAAACAAGACAGTCATTTTAATTTTGTTAACTTACCT